AGCGGCAATACGCCATGAGGTGTTCGACGACGACGATCCGTACGAATTCGCCGTCACAGACAAGACCGTCACGCAAATGCACGGGCGGCTTCGCGCAACCCTCGCATGGTGGGGCTCGTGGTGCCCAAGTAGCCTCATCCTCTCGGTCATCGCCAACGGCTACTGGCTACCATGGAGCCACAAACCCCCACAACCGTTTCACGAGCGCAACCATCTCGGCGCACACACACACACGGCATTCACACGCACTGCCATTCGCGAGCTGACAGATACCGGAGCGGCGGTAGCTACCCCAGCAGCGGAACTAACATGCATCAGCCCACTCAACGTGGTTGAGCAACGTGACAAATGCAGGCTTATTCTCGACCTCCGGAAAGTGAACGCGCAACTAATCATCCCCAAATTCAAATACGAAGGGCTAAGCCGCGTTGCCGACCTGACACGCACAGGCGACTGGATGTTCTCCATCGACCTCAAATCCGGATACCATCACATCGACATACACCACTCATGCTGGACATTCCTCGGCTTCGAATTTGAGGGGAGCACGTACTCTTTCCGCTCATTGCCCTTCGGCCTCGCGACAGCACCATTTGTCCTCACACAACTCATCAAACAACTAGCCCGGCGCTGGCGCGAACAAGGCATCCAAGTTGTACCCTATGTGGACGACATCCTGTTTTTATGCAAGTCCAAGGCACATGCACAAGCAACGTGCCAGATGATAATCTCGGACCTCAAGATGGCGGGCCTGGTAATCAACGCGAAAAAGTCGCAGCTGTCACCGTCACAACACCTGCGATTCTTGGGCGTCGAGCTGGATACCAACTCCGGACAATTATCCATTGGCACCGATCGACGAGCATCACTTCATGCACACATTCTCAATCTCCTGGGCGCAAGCAAAGCACGTCGACAGGTCCCAGTCCGCCACCTGGCTAGAATCACTGGCACGCTCGCGTCAATGGCTGTCGCGCTAGGTGCCACGGCGCGCGCATTCAGCCACGCCATGTTACAAGCGATCAACGACGCGCCATCCTGGGGAAGCAGTGTGAGCATTTCCCCGTCTGTGGCCGAGGAGCTGCAATTCTGGCTTGAGGAGTTCGACAGATTCAACGGCGCACCATTCCACGTCCGGAACAGTTACGACGCCGTAATCCACGTGGACGCCAGTTCCCACAGTTGGGGTGCCACTCTGCTCACCTTCCCTGGCGAACTCGAAGAAGCCAGTGCAGCCATGCCAGAACCATTGCACGCAGCGTCCAGCACCCGAAGGGAAATCGAAGGTGTCCTATGGGCCCTCCGAACGTACGCGAACAAGGTCCGACGGAAACACGTGCTCGTGAGGGTGGACAACCAAGGGGTCTTCTTCATCCTTCGCAAAGGCGGTTCCCGCACCCCCGACCTGACCAACGCTTGCAAGGACATCATTCGCACCTGCATGGAGCTCGGCACTCGACTAATTGTCGAATGGATCCCGCGTGAGCTTAACTCCCATGCCGACGAGCTGTCGAAACTGATCGACCATGACGATTACTCACTGAAGCAACCATGGTTCCGAATCCTTGATCGCCGCTGGGGACCCCACTCCATCGATCTCTTCGCGAACCATCGCAACTCGCATCTGCCACGATTCTGCTCAAAGATCCCTCACCCAGAGGCTACTGCGGTTGATGCATTCTCATGCTCATGGACAGCCGAGAATGGCTTCGCGTTCCCACCACCCCAGCTGATCCCAACAGTCATCCACCACGCACAACGCACCCACGCATCACTCACCCTAATTGCCCCACACTGGACGGGGGCAAACTGGTGGCCACTCTTACAACCCTCCCCACCAAACTGGGCCCCGCACATCAGAGCGCACATTCCACTGACGCACGGCAGCCAATGTCTAGCAGTAGGAACGCACCGCACTGCATTCTCAGGCACAGGACTGCCTCATAGCACAATCATTGCACTACGAGTGGTCTTCAACTAACCCGCCCATACGCCTGTGCGCAGACGTGTTGCCGAAGCTACAAGTCCAGCTTCTAAAGATGCTCTCCCAGTCTCGGGCCGATTCAACAATCCGAACATATGAGCCATACTGGGTCAAGTTTCGAGCCTTTTGTGCAAAGGTGAACCTCCCATTCCTCCCCACGGCGGACATGACCCTCGCGCTGTACCTAGTGTACGCGATCCAACACAAAGCCACCTTGTCCATGGTACAACTCACATGCTCAGCCGTGAGCTTTGCACACCGCATGACTGGGAGCATCTGCCCAACGATCGGACCATTCACCACTCAAGTACGCGATTTCGCAAAAAGGCACTGCCCTCGCCCCATGCGAGTGAAGGAGCCTGTCTCGCTGCAACAAGTCCACGACATGTCTGCCAGCTACCTGCAATCCGACAACCCAGGAGAGTTCCAAAAGGGGCTAATCCCCATCCTCATGTACACCGGATTTTTAAGATACTCGGACCTCATCGTCATCGAGTGGCAAGACATCCAGTTCGAGAACGAGGTCATGTGGATTCTAATTCCGTACTCCAAGTCGGACCAAGCTGGAAAGGGCACATGGATACCCATCGCCGCAACTCATGACCCCTTTTGCCCCGTCCGCTGCACCCGACGACTCATCCAACTTGCGGGGTACAACCAGCAGTCCGCGGGGCCACTTATTCGAGTCTTTGGACGCGGTTCACCCCAAAGTGGCCAAGCAAGGCCGCCATCATACCCGACGATCCGAAACCGGTGTAAAGAAGCGTTCGGGATGATCGGATTAGGAGAACAGCAGCTGGGCACTCACTCCTTTCGCAAAGGAGCAGCCACTGCCGCGGCAAACACCAGTGTGCCAGACAGAATCTTCAAACGACTGGGCAGATGGCGCAGCGACAGAGCGAAGGAGATGTACGTCACGCCCAACGCCGAACACCTCGTCAACGCCTCCCGTCAGTTGCAAGATCTGGCATACGCCCCTTCTTCAGCGCAACATGCCGAGGCACTCGTCCGCCATCGAAAGCCCCCGCTGCCCATGTCTCAGAGACCCCAGTTGCAATGAGAACGATGCCAAATGATCAGTATAAGAAAGCAAGCTTTCTAAATATGATAATTTTTAAACACACGAAGTGTTTTTCAAAATTACGTATTTCGAAAGCGCAGCTGCCTGTAACGCAGATTTGGCATCATCGAAGCGCGCTAAACGCCCTTCTCCAACTACGAAACGTGGGTTGGAGCTCATTTCCCTCCACCCACGTCTCTCATTTTCCAACGGCTCATGCAACTCTCCCACCCCCCACCCCGACACCGAGGACATCTGCGACGCCGCTGGAACAGGAGGACAGACAGTTAGTCATATGATTGGTAGTACGCACACATAATGCAAGATAGCTAGTACAATGCTATGCTAGGTGGAATCAAGTCATGTACTAGCATCTATATTGTCTAGCTCGAGGTGCATGTTGTAATTTGCCAATTGCCATGAGAACGATGCCAAATGATCAGTATAAGAAAGCAAGCTTCTATCAAAACCAGTTCGAATGGACACACTCACTGAGTGCGCAAAGAACCTTCTCGGAAATGATAGTTTGATCCCATTTTTTAAAACCCACAGACATGTGTTATTGATGCAATGAAACATGGATGAAAGCACATACGCACACAACACAACACATGCAAATGATCATACACATTCACACATACGCGCACGCACGAAGCCACTTGACGAAGCATATAAACCGCAGATAAAATAAAAACCTAAATCATCAAGACATCATGTATCCTATACCGTAAGTCACAAGCAATATCAGTCTACTTCTCGTATTGAGCTCGACTGCCTGGAGGGCAAGACAAAACTGGGTTGAGGAAGAGAAGGCAAATGAGAAATAACAAGGCATAATGGGAGAAAAAGGAACACAATTTTTTACACACTCATAAGCCGACACCACGCAATAGGTTTGAAACCAACGCAACATTAGCTGAGCTTATCAGTATGCTTTGGAAGAGCAATAGCGTATTTTGGAAGGGAATTAAAAAAAAAAAACAGAAACAAAAGCAACGGTTTCCAATCCTGAATGAAACTAAGTAGACAGATGACAAGAGAAGTAAATTGAAGGGAGAAGAGAAAATAATTTGATGAAGCAAGAGTTTTATTTATATATATAATGACACTATTGAAAGAATGAACCGACAAACAAAAACGAAATGAAAGGGGAGGGAAAGAATAACACTATCGAACGAATGAAAGACCTACACAGAAAGAGCCTATGGAACAACAGTAGAACGAATGCATGCAATTATAGAAAATAGTAACAGAATATCGCGAGAAGGATATCACTTTCTAACAAAACGAAAGGAGCACTAACATTACAAATTGACGCAAATTGAAGAACCCATGAGGTAAAGAAAATAAAGTTCAGTTAATGAAGGAGGGAGGAGGGATGGAGTAAAAGGCGGATGGAGGGAGGAAGGGAAAGAAGGAGAGAAGGAAATAAAAAACGGCCAATGTCTTAAAACCATGCCATGCTCCCGGTCACTCTCTCTGTCTTTGTCTCTCTCTCTCTCTCTCTCGTTCTCTCGCTCACGTTCTTTTTCCTTTCTAAGGAAGGACGGAGGATAAATCTAGGAGCATAAGGAAACAAAGTTTGACGCGATCGTATGAAAAGAGCAGAATAGGACAGAAAACATGGAGGTAAAACAAATGCTAGCAATAATACATAAACAAAGTTTAAGGAAAAGGGATGGAGAAGCACAAAAAACTCACCATGCGCGGCTCTACATCTCTGAACGACGACGCTGTTGCAGTCCACGTCCACGGTAACAAGCACCGCAGTTGCAATCGGAAACGCAAATGATGTAAGCAAGAAATAGAAAACAGGTTGAGCGGTAACGAAGTAGTAACGGTTCTCGATTAGTTTAACATTAGATTCTAAGATAGAATAGATTAACAATAGAAGAAAAGAATGGAAATACCATAAATCGTGATGTGCGAACTTCTGTTCATGAAGAACGAACTCACCTATGTACGAGTAGACGGCGCATAGGTAGCAGGAGAAACGAAGGGATGACGCCTAAGCTGTTAAGACAAAAGGGAAGGAGGAAATCTGTATGAATTGAATGCATTGAGAATGAAATGTGAGGAGTAATGGATAACGAAATGATGACATGGTTTTCAAAGATTAGGACAAGGCGAAAATCGCTGATAGCAAGAAAAGCGGGGCACTGGGTAGGAACGACCTAGCTGCTCTGTCGAAATGGCCTTAACCCTTCAAAAACGATCTAGCGTTAGTAAGGTCAACGACACGAGATTAAGAAACGTGGATCTAATTTATAATATCTAACCTAGATCTAGTTGATAGCTTAGGGTAGAATTCTCCTTACCTTCAAGTGGTTGCTAGGAGGAGCATGACTAGCGGCCTTGACTAGCTAGGAGGAAGAACCAAGTTGGAGTGGCGAGAGGAAAGGGGAGGCAGAAAAAAGGTCGATACAAACCCTAGGGCTGTGCTGATTCCGACGCGTCAAAACCTGTATAAAATGTTGAAATGAAATGTGCCTTGAGCAGATTTAGCCGAGTCGTTAGAATGTCAGTGCTCATACGGAAGGTCTCGTTGTCGAATCCTACTTGGAAATTTTTCGAGCAAAGTTCAATTAGCATGAACTACACTAACTTCAACTAGTTACTACTTCCTTACAAATTACCACTAGTGGTACGAAATAATGAATGTAGATATGCAAAACGCTTCGCAACCCTACGACGACTTCGTCGCCTCTTGTTTTTTTTTTTTTGGTTGTGTCACAAGCAGTCAGGCTGCAATTCACCTCACATTGCAGTTCAATCACATCACAGTGCTCCTAAAGCTTGAGGGTTCACAGTATGAACGGAAAGCTCAATCAACCCACGGTAACAATTCAGCCGCTCAAAGCAGCTGTATTCCCCCCTCTCTCTCCCACTCTCCCGCCCTCGCTTTCTCCTCTCTTCGCCTCCCTTCCCCACCTCTCTCTTCCTTCAGGCATACTTCTTCCCTAGAATCCCATCCCCAACACCACCACTCGCTCCTTCCCTCACCGCCCCCGTCCCCTTTTCACCGCCACCCACACCACCAGCACCACCATCACCCAAAGCCTTCCCACCCACGCGCCCAGCCCTGCCAGAACCACGCAGCACCACAGCCCGAACCGGGAAGCACCAGCGCAGCAGCCGCTCCCACGCATAGCACCCCACAAACATGACCGCAGCCATGCCGAGCAGCGACACTCCCAGCGGCTGCGGCAGCTTCACCAGCTCCAGGGAGTCGTTCAGCTCTCGGATCGTGTCCGACGCGACCACTGTGAAAAACACCGCCGCGGCCGAGAGTGCGTAGAAGAACTGCGTATTCTCCCGGATGCTCTGGTTGAACGGATGCCCGATGTAATTCACTGCGAACGTCGCGACCTGGATCATCATATTCGCCATGTAGGATACCGTGTTGACGAGGTTCGGAGAGAAAGTGGAGTCCGGTTCAATGCATTCCTCTGGCATGAAGGTCTGCGCCCAGGACACGGCTGTTATGAGGAACGTGATGTGGATGGCGAATTGTCCGAGGATGGAAATGAGAACGTAGGCTGAGAAGACCTTCGGGTGCGGGCGCTCCTTCGAAAGCGTGTCGAGAGGCTTGGCTTGGGAAAGAAAGAGGAAGAAGGCTGCTGTGAACACGCCGCTGATCGTCGCTTGAGTGTCGCCGAGCTTCACCCCATCAAGGTACATCACAGACATGACATAGGCTGTCGCGAGGCAGTTGAGACCGAGGATCTTGAACATCTGTAACGTGGTAACCAGCGTTGCGCGGCCCTGGCGGAGGATGTCCCGGGTGGGTTTCACGGAGGCGTGCTTGGCTGTGAATGGAGAGGCCATGGATGCGTCTCCGAGCTTTACCACCGGTGCGCGCCCGTCCCCTCCGTCCTCGAGCTCTTTCATCAGCTTCTGCAGCTTCTCCTGCTGCTCTTTCACCTTCCGCTGGTGCATCTCACGCGCGGAGAGGCGTGGGTTAACCACCCCTCCTGGCCCTGCTGCTGCTGATGATGCAGCGGCGGTGGTGCTGCCTGCTGCGGCAGAAGCGAGGGAGCCGCCTGCGGTGGCTCCTGCAGAACCTCCTATGGCTGCTGTGGCGTGGGGTTGCCCTGGCCTCCTCTTGTGCTTCGCGGCCCCTGGGGTGGGGAGGGCAGGAGGGAGGGGAGCGAATGTGTTTTGGGGCGCCTCAGAAACAGACTTTCTGAGTCCGGCAGGAGAGGGCAGGGAGGGGAAGAGTAGGGAAAGGCGTATGGGTGGGGGAAGGGGCCACCACGGAGAATACTGCAGGGATGGGGGAAGATGGGCATAGATGGGTGATTGGAAGCAGGAATCCGACGAAGGAAGCTTTTTACTGTCATGGTTTGTCACGGCAGGGCAAAAATCTACCTCATGCGCAAGCCTTTCACAAACCCAGCAAACACAGAAACATCAACTCACCCACCCCTCATCCACCCAGGGCCCCACCTGCAGCAGCATCCCCAGCGCTCTTCTTGCCGGCAGGGGCGGGCGGGACGGCGTTGAGCAGAACAACGCCCACGTCTGCCCGCTTGAGAGCACCCAGCAACCACGTCGTTGGTGCCGTCGCCACACATGAGCGTCACCCGCCCCACCCACAAGCATGTACCCACTTCCCTCCACCCAGGCCCCCACTGGCACCTCCACCACTCACTCACCCAGCCGCCCACCCCTGCAGTTATCCCCCCTTCCCCCCATCTACCTGCCTCCCTCCACCCAGGGTCCCACCTGCAGCAGCATCCCCGGTGCTCTTCTTGCCAGCAGGAGCAGGCGGGACAGCGTTGAGCAGAGCAACACCCACGTCTGCCCGCTTGAGAGCACCCACGTCGTTGGTGCCGTCGCCACACATGAGCGTCACCCGCCCCACGTCCTTGAGCGTTGCTAGAATCACCTCCTTCTGCTCCGGTGACACCCGCGCAAACACCTGCGGGGGATAGGTATCAGGGAAAGGAGGAGTAGGGAGGAGGGAGGGGAGGAGGGGAAGGGAAGCGGGGGAAGTGGGGGGGAAGTGGGGGGAAAGGAGGGGGGGAGGGGGAGGAAGGGGAGGTGGGGAAGAGGGACTGGAACATGCATTAGCCACGTGGTCGGCGTGTGATGAGACGATTTTTGAGTCGACTCATCACACGATGGGCATAAGCATAACCACGTTGTCGGTTCTGCTCTTGAGTCAACTCAAAAGTCACCTCGATTTTTGGGTCAACTCATCACACAATGGGAGCATATGCATAAGCATAGCCATGTGGTCAGTTCTGCTGCCGCATCTGAGAGTATGACCCAACCTAGCTCCTCGTAATTCGGCCCATACCACCTACCTTTGCTCTTAGATACTTGGGAGCGGGATGGGGTTCGTGGTGAAAGGATGGCACAGCGCAGCACAGCACAGCACAGCGCAGCACAGCACAGCACAGCACAGCACAGCACAGCACAGCACAGCACAGCACAGCACAGCACAGCACAGCACAGCACAGCACAGCACAGCACAGCACAGCACAGCACAGCACAGCACAGCACAGCACCGCACACAACACGCACCTGTGTGCGCGGCACGACGAGGGAGAGGGCGTTGCAGCGCTGCAGCATGGCGATCCCGTCGCCCGCCACACACAGGTCGTACTCCTCACTCACCCGCTGCACCTCCTCCTCGCTGCCAGGGGGGGGGGGGGGAAGAGGGGGCAAAGCATGTGCATGAAGACCGTGGTCAGCGCAAGACCATGGCACGAGCAAGACCACAGCCACACACAGGTCGCACTCCTCACTCACCCGCTCCACTTCCTCCTCGCTGCTCGCACCACAGCATACCACAGCAAAGCACAAGACCACAGCGATGGAGGCGACAAGGGGGTGAGACAAAAGAGTCGTATCGTATGCTGTCATACATTCGTACACACACTAGCCATTCACTATCAGCCATGATGGGTGAGTGTGAGGAAGTGAGTGCGGAAGCTGCCACATTGCATCGTGGGTGAGTGTGAGGAAGTTAGTGAGCATGGTGCCGGTGACGAAGGCCATAGGGGAGTATTTGTACACACATTTCCAACCCACTCCACCCCACCCTACTCCATTCCACCCCATCCCTCTCCACTCCACCGCATTCCCCCCCCCCTCTCCACCCCTCTCCACCCCAGTCCACCCCACTCCACCCCAGTCCACTCCACTCCACCCGACCCCACTTACCTGTAGGGCATGCAGGTGACTTCATCAGGCGACAGCCAGTTGAATCCCCCGTCAGCAGAGGGAGTGAGAACGAGCACAGGGCGAGTCACTATGTTCACCTGCCCTGCCACGTGACACGCTGTCAGCGCCTGATCTCCTGTGATCATCACCTGACGCACGGAGGAAGGTGGACAGCAGGGTCGAGGAGAGGGGGTGTGGGGGGGTGTGGAAAGGGCAGAGAGGAAGAGGGGAGTGAGAAAGGCATGATGGCGACAAGACACAGAGACACTAGAGGAAGCAGGAGAGGGAGGAAACGAGGAGAGAGGGGAAGGAGACCGAGGAGAGGACGAGAATTTACGGAAGGCGAAAAGAATAGGGCAAGCAAGGGTGAGGGAGGGACGGACCAGGTCATGGGAGGAGGAGCGCAGCTCTGCAAGCACAGAGGCGGAGTCAGAGCGGATGGGGCATGCGAAGACCTGATGGGGAGGGCCGGGGGAGAGAGAGAAAGTGGGGACAGGCATTTGTGTGTGGGCACTTGGGAAGAGTGGTGCAGTTCGGCTGGTACAGAGGCGGACAGATTGGGCATGCGAGGTGGGGTGTGAGAGAGGAGAGGTAAGTGGGGGAAGCGGGAAAGGAGGAAGTGTGGACAGGCGGGTATGTTCGTGATGGGCGCATGGGAAGGTGGGCAGGATGCGAGGAGGGGAGGGAGGGAGGGAGGGAGGGAGGGAGGGAGGGAGGGAGTGGGGAAGGTAAGGGGAAGACGCGTGTGCGTGTGCATGCGTGGGTGCATGTGAGGGCATGTATTACCGCGAAGCCAGCGAATGTGAGGGCACTCTCCACATCGTCACGCTCCAGAGCCCTCGCCTCTGTCACCTGTGCCACACGCACACGCAGATATACACGCAAACACACATGCACGCACCCCCCCCCACGCCCTTCCTTCCTCCCCACCTCATTACACACACACCCATCCCCCCCCCACACACTCATCATACATATAGCAACAATCCAAAAGCTCTGCATTGAACCACATTCGGCCGGACCAGAACGCACTGCATCCCGTTCCGTGTGGAAAACGCAGCGTTGTTTTCCATCCCGTTCACAGGCTGCCCACATCCAATGCAGCAACAGCATTGGCGACAGCGGCTCAGTGGAGAAAAAAAGGTAGGGAGGGGCAAGCAACATCTAGGATCTGAGAAAAGGTGACTTTTGAGTCGACTCAAAAGTCACAGCGGCTCAGTGGAGAAGAAAGGTAGGGAGGGGCAGGGGCAGGCAACATCTAGGATCTGAGAAGGAGCAGGAGGGGCAAGCGGGCCTTTCCCCTCTCCCCCCTCTTCCCCCCGTTCCTCACCGTCCTGTCAGGCAGTTGCTTGTAAGCCAGGGCAAGCACACACGCCCATCCTCCAGCCTCTCATCTCAGGCCCCTCCATCTCCCCCTCCCACACCCCCTCACAACTTTTGAGACGTCTCAAAACACGCCCATCCTCCAGCCTCCCATCTCAAGCCCCTCCATCCCCCCCTCCCACACCCCCTCACAAAACGCGCCCAACCCCCCTCTCCCTTCCCCCTCTCCTCACCGTCATATCAGGCAGGTGCTTGTAGGCCAGGGCGAGCACACTCGCGAAACTTAACCATCTTCCTTGCCCCCTCCCTGACCCCTCACATCCCTTTCCCCCCATCCTAACCCCCCCTCCTCTCCTCACCGTCATATCAGGCAGTTGCTTGTATGCCAGGGCGAGCACACGCGCCCCCTGGCGAGTGAACTGCTTGTACGCCGCACTGTACCCCATTGGCACCTCTCCCAACCGCTCCATTATCGTCTCAGGGGCTCCCTGGGAGGGGAAATGGGACAGGGGGATGAAAACATTTGGGGCGTTGGGGTGGTGGGGGAGAAGCAAGTGGAGGGGAGAAGAGGGGGAGGGAGGAGAGGAAGTGGAGGTTGAGTTGAGAGAGGAGAGGGGAGGGATGGTAGGTCTGTTGGTGTTTGAGATGTGTTAAACTTGAGCGAAGAGAGAAGACGGGCGCTTGTATGAAAAAAAAGGGGGGATGGGCGGTAGCACTAACGCTGATGCCAGACACGTGAGGTGCCTTCGTGACAGGCAACCTTTTGAGTCGACTCAAAAAGGGGGGATGGGCGGTAGCACTAATGCTGATGCCAGACATGTGAGGTGCCTTCGTGACAGGCAACCTTTTGAGTCGACTCAAAAAGGGGGGATGGGCGGTAGCACTAATGCTGATGCCAGACATGTGAGGTGCCTTCGTGACAGGCAACCTTTTAAGTCGACTCAAAAAGGGGGGATGGGCGGTAGCACTAATGCTGATGCCAGACACGTGAGGTGCCTTCGTGACAGGCAACCTTTTGAGTCGACTCAAAAAGGGGGGATGGGCGGTAGCACTAATGCTGATGCCAGACACGTGAGGTGCCTTCGTGACAGGCAACCTTTTGAGTCGACTCGAAAAGGGGGGATGGGCGGTAGCACTAATGCTGATGCCAGACACGTGAGGTGCCTTCGTGACAGGCAACCTTTTGAGTCGACTCAAAAAGGGGGGATGGGCGGTAGCACTAATGCTGATGCCAGACACGTGAGGTGCCTTCGTGACAGGCAACCTTTTGAGTCGACTCAAAAAGGGGGGATGGGCGGTAGCACTAATGCTGATGCCAGACACGTGAGGTGCCTTCGTGACAGGCAACCTTTTGAGTCGACTCAAAAAGGGGGGATGGGCGGTAGCACTAATGCTGATGCCAGACACGTGAGGTGCCTTCGTGACAGGCAACACCATTCCTGCTGTAGAGTGAATACACGTCAGTCAGTAGTGGTCTACAGCATAGTCTGTATGTACAGTAGTGAGTGAAATCAGGGGGCGCAAAGGGCCGTACAAAGCACTGCTGCACGCTCACTTTGACGAGAACCATGAAGCCAGGATCGCTGTCCACACGGGCTATCACCGCCATGCGGGCGGTTGAAGTGCGATGCAGGCAAAACCCGTTGCTAAGCGGTTCTCCACAGCTCAAAACCCGCCTACCCTAAAGCGCTCACCTTGACGAGAACCATGAAGCCAGGGTCGCTGTCCACGCGTGCAATCACTGCCATGCGCTTGAGGTGCGATGCAAAGTGGTGCCGGCATATGATGCTCGCCTCGTGGTGCTGCCCCCTGGGGAGACAGACACACAAGGGAGGGCGGGGGAGACGGACAGGGCCATAAGAAAACTATATTCGAGGCGCCTAAGAAACAGACAGGGAGTTGGGGGGGGGGTGGGGTGTTGGAAAGAGCGCCATCAGGAAAAGGGGGGTGCATGTGTAAGCAAGATACACCTGACCCCAAGCCTGTGCATCAGTGTGTGCATGTGTGCACCCAGATGTGTGTGTGTGTGTGTGTGTGTGTGTGTGTGTGTGTGTGTGTGTGTGTGTGTGTGTGCACGCGTGCATGCCGTGTCTCAAAACCAGAGCACACCCATGCATGTGAGCCCTAGCTAATAGGTCGCACCCAGCATAGAGTATGCTGACCTACCCAATCCCATCTCTGAGGCTACAACGGGCAGGCTTACACAGGGCATTGCATGTCATGTCATGCAATGGCATGGAAATGAGATGTCCCAACCAAGAGTACCCAGAACGTTCTGAGATGTCCCAAGAACCACTCTAAAGTGGTACCTCAACCAACCAAACCACTCGTGAAGTCATGCAGAGTCATGAAGAGCCATGAAGAGTCATGCAGAGTCATGCAGAGTCATGCAGAGTCATGCAGAGTCATGCAGTTGACTCGAGTCTCACTTTCTAGAGTGTGCCTTCTCTTCTGCACTGAAGCCCCAGTCAACGCCAGTCAACGCTGCCTTCTCCAACGGGTCCCCCACCTGTGTCAACAAGCGTGAGACGGTTTTTGAAGCGCGTCCGAAAGCATGGGCAATGTGAGAGCCGCGTGTTAGTGTAGCACAGGCGACGTGAAAAGTGCAGGCAGCATGAAACTCGTGCGACTGACAGCAAGGGACTGCCAGCAAAGGACTGCCAGCAAGTTGTCGACTAGAAGTGGGCGAGTGCTCACTGAGAATTATGTCATAATGACCGAAAAGGACAGACCAGTTTGTTGTCGACAAAGACGAGTGAGTGGCAGGCGAAGAGTGAACAGCGTGAACTTTGTGTGAATGACAGCAAAGGAGCCACAAGGACCAACCAGTTTGTTGTCGACAAAGACGAGTGAGTGGCAGGCGGCGAGAGTGAGCAGTGTGGGCAGGGGGAAGCGATGGCAGTCCGTTGACAGATCCAAGGACCCCCCTCCCTCCGCCCCCACCACTCCACGGAATTCCTGAGGGGGTTGCATGGGTGGAGGGGAAAGGAGGTGCGGGGAGGGTTGAGGAGCGGGAGGGACGAAGAAGATGGGTAGATGTTGTGGGAGGGGATGGATGGGATGTGTGAAGGGACATGGCAGAAAGCGGGGATGAAATAAACAGAGTATGATTGGGCAAGTGGGAAAGAGAGGGAGACGTGGGAGGGGAGGGAGGGGAAACAAGGGAACGGAAGAGGGGAGAGGGACAGGGCACATCAATGATAGTAGACATACGAAGGCAATGCTACACATATTGCAGCAATAGCACAGGATAGCGCCCTGCATATATAAACGTTTGAAACCTTTAGACATTGCGTGACATGGCATGGCATGGCATGGCATGGCATGGCCCCAAATGGCATTTTTGAACGTGAATCCAGTCTAGCCCGGAACGACATCGCACCATGTCATCTGAAGTGAGCGTGCCAGTCTTGTCGAAACAGCAGATGTCCACCTGCAATGAGGAGGGGGGTAGCCCAGCACACACAGCCCAGCACACAAAGCCCAACACACAAAGCCCAACACACAGAGCCCAGCACACAAAGCCCAACACACAGAGCCCAGCACACACAGCCCACACAGCAAACATGCACCGCACCACACCACTCAATACACATGCACAGACGCATAACAACACACGCAAATGTCCATGCATCACACCCAGCATGGTTTCATGGATCCATGCATACACACATCCGCATCACATGGACAGAAGTGACTTTTGAGTCGACTCAAAAGTCACCTTGGATCCATGCATCACACACATCCGCATCACATGGACAGAATCGAATATGATGAACCAGAAACATAGAAGCACTTAACATAGCAATTTTATTTACTTATTATGGATAGCATAATTTAAAGGCTGTGCTTTTCTTTTTAACTTGCCAATACAGGACGAGGCTTGCACAGGACGGACCAAGAAACAGCCAGGATGCACCATAAATACATGCATACACACGCATGCACACACCTTGCCGGCAAACGCGATTCCAAACGGCTCGGTGCAGTAGATGCCCTGTCTAACGAGGGCGATGAGGGAGGTGTTGACGGCGATCGGAACCACACCTGATAGACTCTAGCGCCGACAAGCATGCACATGCGCGCACCTTGCCAGCGAACGGGATTCTGAAGGGCTCGGTGCAGTAGATGCCCTGGCGGACGAGGGCGATGAGGGAGGTGTTGACGGCGATCGAAACCGCACCTGACAACTTCAAGAGCATACAAGCACACGCACACACATGCACGCACCTTGCCAGCGAACGGGATTCAGAAGGGCTCGGTGCAGTAGATGCCCTGGCGGACGAGGGCGATGAGGGAGGTGTTGACGGCGATGAAAACTGCACCTGAGAGATTCTAAAACATACAAGCACAAGCACACGCGCGCACCTTGCCAGCGAACGGGATTCGGAACGGCTCGGTGCAGTAGATGCCCTGGCGGACGAGGGCGATGAGAGAGGTGTTGACGGCGATGAAAACCGCACCTGACAACTTCAAGAGCATACAAGCACACGCACACGCATGCACACACCTTGCCAGCGAAGGGGATTCTGAAGGGCTCGGTGCAGTAGATGCCCTGTCTAACGAGGGCGATGAGAGAGGTGTTGACGGCGATCGAAACCGCACCCGGCAACTTCAAGAGCATACAAGCACACGCACACGCACGCACGCACCTTGCCAGCGAACGGGATTCGGAACGGCTCGGTGCAGTAGATGCCCTGTCTAACAAGAGCGATGAGGGAGGTGTTGACGGCGATGGAGAGCTCCATGGGCAGCTCGGGTGGGATGACAGACGTGATGATGAGCGAACAGTTGAGAAACAGCTTGTAGCGACTGCGGTGTGGGTCCTCCAAACCCTGGTGGGGGAGGGGAGGGGGGGGAAGGAGGGGGGATGCAGGGGTTGGGGGGAGTAGGGGGAAAGAGAAGGCGAAGGAGGGGAGAGGATGATGACAGACGTGATGATGAGAGAGCAGTTGAGGAAGTGCTTGTAGCGACTGCGATGCGGATCCTCCAGACCCTGGTCGCAGTCGCTATGGGAAGAGGAGGAGGATCCTCCAGACCCTGGTCGGGGGTAGAGGAAGAGGAGGGGGGGTATGGGGGGAGAGGTGGTGCAGGCATGAGGTGGTGGTGCAGGCATGAGGTGGTGGTGCAGGCATGAGGTGGTGCAGGCATCAAGTGGCATAGAGCACATAGCCAGCAAGGGGTTGAAAAGGATGACAGGGTATGATCCACCTGGCTTTCTGTTTTAGCTGACAGAGAGAAGAGAAGGGCATCAACCAGTGCAAGCATGAGGTGGTGCAGGGACGGGGCGGGCATCAGCTTGTAGAGCACATAGCCGGCAGCGACGATGGCGAAGGAAACGAGGAAGAGGATGAAGATGTTTGAGAAGTCTGAAATGGCATCGCCTGGTGCAGGGAAGGCAAGGGCATCACCTTGTAGAGCACATAGCCGGCAGCAACGATGGCAAAGACGACGAGGAAGAGGATGAAGAGGCCACTCTCTGCACTGTTTGCCGTCACCTGGTGCGGTGCGGTGCAGTGCGGTGCAGTGGGTGTGCATGTTGGGAGGGGAAGTTGGGGCCAAGGGAGGAGGGAACGTGGAAGGGTTGGGGAGAAGGGAGGGGAGGCAGTGGAGGGGAAAGGGAAAGGGAGCAGGGGAGTGAGGGCATGAGGTGCAGAAAAGGGGGAACAGATTACTGACACGATGCATGCAGGCAGGAGGGTAGACGGGGGGGGAAAAGTGGCAGGAAGGGAGGGTAGCAAGAGAAACGAATGGGGGGACTGGGTGGCGGGAAGTAAGAAATAAAGGGAGGAAGGGAGGCAGGGGGCAGGCAGGAAGGCAGGCAGGCAGGAAGGCAGGTACGCACGCGGTCGGTGGAGAAGAGGATGGTGCGCATGAGCTTGCCCTGGCTCGTGTCAAAGCCCGTTCGCAGCACCACCGCCACACAGCCCCCATCTGGTGCTCTGATTGCTGCTGTCTGCACCGCACCATGCATGCATGTGTGGCAGCATGGCAGCATGGCATCACAGATATATGCATGGTGCATGGATGGTGTTTGACACATGGCACCAAGCATGCATGCACGCGCGCACACACACACACGCACGCACGCACGCATGCGCGCACACACACACACGCACGCACGCACGCACGCGCGCACGCACACACACACACGCACGCACGCACGCACGCGCGCGCGCACGCACGCACACACACACACGCACGCACGCACGCACGCGCGCGCGCACGCACGCACGCACGCACGCACGCACGCACGCACGCGCGCGCGCACGCACGCACGCACGCACGCACGCACGCACGCACGCACGCGCGCGCGCACACACACACACACACGCACGCACGCGGGTGCGTGTGCACACACACGCACCCAAACACGCATAAACACGCACGCATGCACAAACACACGTTTGCTTAGAAGTGAGGTCCCAGGAAGCTGATTGAATGGGAGCAACACCGTGACAGCACGGAGTGGTGCAACGTGAGAGGGTCAACACACACGTGCTTTGAGGTGACAGACTCTAGTGGCAGCTGCGGAATGGCAAGCAACTTTCGAGTCGGCTCAAAAGCAGCTGTGGAAGCAGGAAAAGTCGCATCCCGTTGTTCAGTTGGGGAGTGGCATGCGAGGATGGGGGATTCGTGAGTCAGTCAGAAGCAGCAGGGGAGTGGACGACCGAACAAGGATGGCGGAAAAAGAAGCAGGATGGAGGATTGAGCGGGAGGGAAGGGGAGGAAGGGGGGGCGTGGTGGGGAGGGGGGGGAAGAACGAGAGGGTTGCTGGGTGGGCGGAGAGTCGGCAAGAACAGGAACTGAAATCACGTCCTGCCACCGCGGCGGAGAGCAACACATGCTCATCACCCGTTCCATCGTTATCCCTTCCCTCCCTCCCCTCCCCTCCCCCATTCCCTCACCTTGTCAGGCGTGTGCTGCAGAATCTTAGTCCCTGAGAACAGCACGTGTGCCTTGTCCCGCCGCACTGACACCCGCTCACTGCCCTCCCGCGTTGATGCTGGCGTCTGGCAGGTGGGAGGGTGGAAAAAGGGAAAAGGGGAGGGAAGTTGGACGGACATTTTCCACCCTTGGAAAATGTAGGTTAGGAGGTGTCCAAGGGGGAAAGGAGGTGGTGCGAGAAAGACAGACAGTGTGGGTGGGGGGAGGGAAGTTGGACGGACAGAAGATGAGGGAATTAGGGGGAAAGATTGCGAAAGTGGCAAGAGAAATGTAGATACAGACATGGGAAACGAGTGCAAGGTGCAAAGCATCCCCATTGCATTTGTCAACGTTCCCTCGTTCCCTTCAACCCCACCACCCTTCCCACCAGCCCTCCCCCACTCCCCCTTCTCCCCTCTCACCCCCCACACACTCCCCTTACCCACTCTCATCATCCTCTCTCACCCTCCACCCACACCCACCCACCCACACCCACCCACCCACACCCACCCACCCACCCACCCACCCACACCCACCCACCCACCCACCCACCCACCCACCCACCCACCCACCCACCCACCCACCCACCCACCCACCCACCCACCCACCCACCCACCCACCCACCCACCCACCCACCCACCCACCCACCCACCCACCCACCCACCCACCCACCCACCCACCCACCCATCCAGCCACCCAGCACCCACCTTCCACTGCGGGGTGCTCTCGCCCGTGAGAATCGCCTCGTTGGCAATCACAGTCCCCGCCAGCAGCAGCAGATCCGCCGGCACTGTTCGGTCCTCCACCGCCGCTGCTGCCCCTCCTGCCGCTCCCCCTCCCCCTGCTTTGCCCTTTCCAGCTGAAGTGTGAGCAGCAGCAGAGCGACCGATAGAGACAATGTCTCCAGGCACGAGATCAGGCCCTGTTAGGGTCACCCACCTGGGGAAGAGGGAGGGGGGGACGGGGAGGAGAAAGAGGGTTAAGAGGGTCACCCAGCGGGGAAGAGGCGAATAGCAGCAGAGCGACCGATCGAGACAATGTCTCCAGGCACGAGATCAGGCCCTGTTAGGGTCACCCACCTGGGAGCGGTGGGGCGAGGGGGAAAGGGGTTGAGGGGAAAGGGGGACGGACGGGATGCAAGGGGCAGATGGGGAAAGGGATGTTGGGGAACTTGAAGATCCTCAACAGTATCTCACGGCGATTGATAGAGACAATGTCTCCAGGCATGAGATCAGGTCCTGTTAGGAGGAAGACAAAAAGAGAGTGGGGGAAGAGGGAGGCGGAGGGGGATATGGCGGGGAGGTTGAGAGGGGAAGAGGGGGGAGAGGGCGAGAGGGAGAGAAGGAGAGAGGGAGAGGAGGAGGGCACAGCACAGCACAGGATGAACAGGTTCCAGTCGCGATAAGGGGCTTGAGACGTCTCAAACGAAGGCTGCTTTTGAGAATTCTCAGACAAACACTTCCGCACCCCCCTTCCCCCCCACTCTTTCCACTCGCTTCCCCTCACTATCCAACAAAACAGAATCCTTTTTTGAGGCGCCTCAAAACTCGCCCCCCACTCTTTCCACTCGCTTCCCCTCACTATCCAACAAAACAGAATCCTTTTTTGAGGCGCCTCAAAACTCGCCCCCCACTCTTTCCACTCGCTTCCCCTCACTATCCAACAAAACAGAACCCTTTTTTGAGGCGCCTCAAAACTCGCCCCCCACTCTTTCCACTCGCTTCCCCTCACTATCCAACAAAACAGAACCCTTTTTTGAGGCGCCTCAAAACTCGCCCCCCACTCTTTCCACTCGCTTCCCCTCACTATCCAACAAAACAGAATCCTTTTTTGAGGCGCCTCAAAACTCGCCCCCCACTCTTTCCACTCGCTTCCCCTCACTATCCAACAAAACAGAACCCTTTTTTGAGGCGCCTCAAAACTCGCCCCCCACTCTTTCCACTCGCTTCCCCTCACTATCCAACAAAACAGAATCCTTTTTTGAGGCGCCTCAAAACTCGCCCCCCACTCTTTCCACTCGCTTCCCCTCACTATCCAACAAAACAGAATCCTTTTTTGAGGCGCCTCAAAACTCGCCCCCCACTCTTTCCACTCGCTTCCCCTCACTATCCAACAAAACAGAATCCTTTTTTGAGGCGCCTCAAAACTCGCCCCCCACTCTTTCCACTCGCTTCCCCTCACTATCCAACAAAACAGAACCCTTTTTTGAGGCGCCTCAAAACTCGCCCCCCACTCTTTCCACTCGCTTCCCCTCACTATCCAACAAAACAGAATCCTTTTTTGAGGCGCCTCAAAACTCGCCCCCCACTCTTTCCACTCGCTTCCCCTCACTATCCAACAAAACAGAACCCTTTTTTGAGGCGCCTCAAAACTCGCCCCCCACTCTTTCCACTCGCTTCCCCTCACTATCCAACAAAACAGAATCCTTTTTTGAGGCGCCTCAAAACTCGCCCCCCACTCTTTCCACTCGCTTCCCCTCACTATCCAACAAAACAGAACCCTTTTTTGAGGCGCCTCAAAACTCGCCCCCCACTCTTTCCACTCGCTTCCCCTCACTGTGCAACAGAACAGAATACCTGGAAATTGGAATGTCCACACGCACACACCGCAGCTCACTGATCAGTTTGCCCTTCTTCCCTTTCGCGAGCCCTGGCGTCTCAAGCGTCAAAACCGCCTCCTTCCTTTCGAAGCCAAACAATCTCTCTCCCCCTCCCACCCCCTCCTCAGCATTCACTTGCCCTCGCGATGCACGAGAATCCCTTGAGTGTCCACGCGCACGCGGCGCAGCTCACTGAGCGTGCGCAGGCGACTCAAGGGTCACAGTTACCCCCAACCCCAACCCCCTTCTCGCCAGCCAACCCCCCCTTCCCCTAGGACTCACTTGCCCTCGCGATGCACGAGAATGCCCTGTGTGTCCACGCGCACGCGGCGCAGCTCACTGAGCGTGCGCAGGCGGCTGGCGACGACGGTGGACTCGAAGACGAGCAGCATGAAGAGCGTGAAGATGGAGTAGTACCAGTACTCGTCCATGCACCACAGCGCTACACAGAACACCTGCGAGGGGGGGGAGAGGGAGGTGCAAAGGTGGGAAGGGGAAGGGCGGGGGACAGGGGGGAAGGGGGGACGGAGGAGAGGGGTTTAGGCATGAGCAGTATGAGTTTTGAGACGTCTCATAAGCTCGAGAGACGAGCAGTTGAGGCGGCTGGCGAGACGGTGGACTCGAAGACGAGCAGCATGAAGAGCGTGAAGATGGAGTAGTACCAGTACTCGTCCATGCACCACAGCGCCACACAGAACACCTGGTAGGAGAGGTTGGGCGGCGGGAGAGGGAGGAGGACGGAGGGGGGAGGGGGGAGGGAGGAGGGCGGAGGGGAGAGGGAAGGGGTGGAGTTAAGGAAAGGGCAGAAGGGTTTGCGGCACCTCAGAAGCTTTTGCGATTTGAATGCTGCATCTCAACAAGGAACCGCACAAAAGAAGGCTCTTGTCTTGAGAACTATCGCACGTGATTCCGTTCCGACTCACTCACCTGGTGAGACAGTAGCACACTCCCAAATCCGAGTCACCTTTGCCAGGAAAGAACTACACAGCGCATTTGAGGAACTCCCAGAGGTGATTCCAATGCTCAGATGATTACCTGGAAGACAAAGAACGGCTCCGAGCACTGCTCCTTGAAGAGAGCGAGGAAGGTGGGCGCTGGGAACTCAAACCTGCATCCGGTAGCACACAGTGGGGTTTAAGGCATGGATGGAGGGTGTTTTTGTCAAGGGAAGGAGGCGGAGAGGGGGAGAACACAGGAAAAGGGGATAAAGAGCAATCTGGGACAGGAAAGCGGTACAAAGAATGTAGGGTTTCGGGTTTGAGGCTTGGGAACTTGGGGTTTAAGGTGTAGTGCAAGGCGTGCAAGGCGGGTGGGGTGAGAGGGAGGGTGGGACAAGAGAAGAAGTGCCTTGCTCCAGCAGAGAATTTTCTGTCAGTGCCATCAAGCCTCTTACCCTCGGGATCCCTGCCAGGCTCCAACCCCCCAAACCCCTCCACCCCCTCAAACCCCTTCACTCCCACCCCCTTCTCCACTCCCCCCCTTCGCTCCGTCAAACCCGCTCCACCCATCTCCACCCCCCTGGGATTCTCACGCGTTGCGGCCCCATCGGTGGCGAGCAGCTTCCACCTTAGCAGGCGTGCCATACCCCTTCCACTGCACGTACGCCCCAAACGTCTCCTTGGACGGAAACCTTAGCTTCTTGAATGCCCTCTCCCCCTCGTCATACACAAACTGCTGCCGCCTGTAGCACATCCGCACCTCCTCTTCCTCCTCCTCCTCCCGCTCAGCTCCCGTCTTCTCCTGCTTCTGCTCCTCCCGGCTTTTCCCCTTCCGCTCCTTCTCTTTCTCGGCTTTTCTCTCGCTGCCCGCCTCCTGCTTCTCAGGTTTGCTCGTCTCTTGCTTGTCCGTCTCCCCCCCTTTGCCATTCTCCTCTTTCTTAGAAGCAGCAGCAGCAGCAGCAGCAGCAGCGAAAGCAGCGCCCCCAGCTCCTAGAAGGTGCTTCTCAGCAGGCAACTGAAAGGGAGAAGGGGGATGGAGAACAGGCAAGGCAACCCAAGCAGGTGGCAGGTGGGTGTGGTGGTGGTGGTACAGCGTACGTACAAGTTCAAGGTATGTTCTTATGCAACTCAAGATACACCTGCGCTATCAAGATTAGATGGTGAGGCGACAAAAGAAAATCCTCACAATTGCAGTGTGCACTCACATACTAGGCGCGTTGAGTCCCCATGAATCCCTCAGTTCTAATTCTAGCTGAAGAGGCACTCAAGTGTGCGTGCGCGCTTGTTGAGTGAACTGTGAAAGGCACGACCTCCTTAAAGCCTCCGAATTATATTCTTATTCAGGCCACATTACATTGTTAAATAATCTCAAAAGGGCACTCACATGCTTGCGCTTGGTGAGAGGCACGACCTCCTTTGAGCCTCCGAACTTGGATGGAATGACCTTGCATACCTCTGCCTCGTGCACTGATGCTACCTGCTCCACATGCATGCATGCATGCATGCACGCACGGGCGGACACACATGCACCGACACATATGCACGGACACACATGCACCAACACATACGCATCGACACACGCAAACGCAAACATGCGCACCCCAGAGGAAGGGAAGCTGAGGAAGCAGGAAACACGACTGAATGAAGGATTCACAACAGAAGAAGCTTCTAATCAACCACGTCCCCCCATCCCCCATCAAACTCCTAATCTCTAGCCCCGGCTCCCCTTATCCCGCCCTTGGCTCTTGGCCCCTTGCTTTCAAGACACTTCTACCCCATGCAGCAACACGTATATCATGAGAGGGCTCATGCTTGTCTTGCTGCTCTCAAAGCAAACCTCTATTCCGCTCCGACTCTGCCACCTCCCGGTTCAAATTTGAGACAACTCAGAATTTCGGACGTCCTTCACTCACACAGCCTTGCTGCGCTGCTATCGAGTCTGTTGAGCTCAAATCAGCTCTTTACTCGCACTCTAGCACAGAACCACTAGGTTCAGTCACTCTTTTCATTCAGTGCGCGCCATCCGCACCGCACCTCCCGTAGCTCCATAATACCCATGAAAGCCATAATACCTAGATTCGCATTTGGATTCAAACAAAATCAAGCTCCAAACCCGAAGCACCGGTAAGCCACGGAACACGGACTACACTGGGAACAGCGCCGAAAGAACCATGTTCCACATCCCACATGCAGAATGCCGCATGCCACACGCCGGATGCCACATGCCCCATGCCACACGCATGCAGCCCACCTGTCGCGCGTGCGCGAAGCACCGGAAGTCCACGGACCACACAGTGAAGAGCGCCGTCAGGATGTTCAGCGAAACGAGCGCGCCCGTCACGATCGCCATCTCCACGAAATCCAAGCGAAGTCGGGTTACCAGCAGCGCCAGCCACACGGCGTACACGACGGCGAACGGCCAGACGTCCAATCGGTGGGCTACGGGCAGCCAGCAGTAAAGTTCCACAGCCCGGACGTTCTTAGAGTCGACAGGAATAGCCATGTTCGCTCAACGGCTTGAAGCGGACGGGAGGAGGAGCGGAGGAGGAGGGGAAGAGGGAGAAGGCGAAGATAGAGATGCAGCAGGGTGAAGGGTGAGCGATAGAGGGCGAAGGTGAGCAGGCGTGAGATGCGGCGGGAAATCGACGAGCTGACGCGGAAGCCGGATCGGACCTGCTTAATAGAACACGCGCGCAGCACGAAGCTACTTGAACGGAATTACACTCGAGGTCGATTCGAATCAGGCACGTGTGAAGGCCCGTATCCGTCAAAATAAGGAGCCGCCTACAACCTGCCACGACAAGCGCGCGACGCCGTGGGCCGTCCGATCGGGTGGGGAAACCTAACGCTTTAAAGAACGTGATGGACGTCGAGTCGGCCGGAAGTAGAGTCGCTTGTCGAAGAAGCGACTCGCACGGGCTGGCCGGACCGTAAGCCTCCCATCACACGCAGCAGCACCACGAGCAGTCAGGGAGAAATGGAGATGTAGCGGATACCGTATCTCCTTTATATGCTGTGTGTGTCACTGCCCACTCTTATATAAGTATGTGAAAGCTTGATTGAATCATATGACGTGTATATTAGGGGTCAGCAGCAAAACTCATGTCGCGCGAAACAATATTAAAAATTTCTGGAGGCGCATCGACTATTGGATCGAATTGCAAGCGTTTTCAACAGCGGCTATAGTTTTTAGGTCACACTATCCCATAAGCATGGGTGGACGGATAAAAAAGGCTAGTCACGACGTAGGTGTGGCACGCGTCAACGAAACTCACGAAGCTGCATAATTTTCTAGAGTTTGTTATAGTAGGTTCTTAAGAATCTCCGGAACCATACAGTCACAGTTCGGATGAATGTTGCTCTCTTAGATAGTTCACTTTTTAGGGAAAATATACCACTCGTATGTCAAGGTGCAATCTTACTTGTAGACTATAGTGGGGCACTCCTTATGGGGTATAGCACTTCTAGGGATAGTACTTATACCCCAACTCTTGATCTTGTGTTAGAATCTTAGGCAAAGGATGATTCAACTATCGAGAAGTTTGGTACAAAAGTAAAACCTAAGGGGTTGTACCTCACAGTGAGTACCCCACTAAAGCCTACCCAAACTAAAACATATAAACATATGTTTGACACACCCCCATAGGCAAAGTGGGGGAGAACAGAGGGTCACAAGGCCAGGCAGGAAGTGCAAAGCAAGCTCAGGGTGGATCACAACGTCACCACGCAGTCTGAGCACAAGCAAAAGGCCACAAGGCCAGTTCACATGCAGAGATATATATGTAACAACAACAGCACAGTGATCTCTACCTACAAGAGCAAGCATGCAGGTATACATATAGATCACAGTACAAACAAAGCCTACAGCAAGTGAGGAAGCGTGGGCACAAGGCCTAACAAAGTGCAGAAACGCTGATGATCACCAGGCGGAAGCGCCTTGGTGAATATATCAGCAGTGTTGGCCCGCGTGGCCACGTAAGCAAGACGAAGCTGGCCACGCTGCTTCAGCTCTCGAGTAAGAAAGTAACGCAGAGCGATGTGCTTCGTTCTGTGCTCCAGTCTGTGCTCCTGACACAAGGCAATGGCGGTCTTGTTGTCGACGTACAGAACTGGAGGAGAACGAGGCCGCTCTCCCAAGTCGGTCAGCAGGTAGGTGAGCCAGCGTAGCTCCTGTGCAGCCATGGCTGTGGCGTAGATCTCGGCCTCACAGCTGGAGCCGAGAACTGAAGACGAACGTGTAGAACGCCAGGAAACTGAACCAGAACCAAGGCTGAAGGTGTAACCCTGTGACGACCGCTGCGTAGCCTGGTCGTCAACCCAAGAGGCGTCCGAGTGACCAGTGAGGACAACGTCACCCCGTCCTCCAAGCACGAGCCCCATGCCCGATGTACTGCACAAGTAGCATAGTACCCTCTTAGCAGCATCCATGTGCACCTTTCGGTGCCGACCTGGAGCCACGTAGCGAGCCAGAAGGCCAAGAGGGTACGCAAGGTCAGGACGAGTGCAGGTCATCAGGTACATGAGGCAGCCCACTAGCTCTGGGTAAGGACCACTCGGCTCTACGGACTCGTCCGAAGGTGGAGCTGAGAGCGAGTGACCTGTAGCCAGAGGAGTGGCCTGTGCTGAGGACCAGGTGAAGCCGAAGCGCTGAAGGACCTGCTGCACCATGTGTGACTGAGTAAGTGTGATGGTGCGGCGTGCTCTGTCCCGGGTGATCTGCAAGCCAAGGTAGCTGAGCAGCTCACCCAGGTCTGTGCACGTGTGTCTCTTCTGCAGCTCCGACATCACCAGGGCGAGAGCCTCTGTGTCAGAAGTGGCAAAGACCAAGTCGTCGACGTACACGAGGATGTAGAACGGCGGCAGCGAAGTGTCGGTGCGCAGAAACAACGACGGGTCAGCAGTAGAAGGAGCGAACCCAAGAGCCGCAAGTGTCATCCTCAGTGTGTCGTGCCACTCACGTGGCGCCTGGCGGAGACCGTAGACCGGCCGCCGGAGGCTCCACTGGGTACCAGGAGGGAACGACCCAGTGAAGCCAGGAGGGCGGCGCAGCCAGATCTCCTCGTGCAGGCTGCCCTGTAAGAAAGCTGTGCTGAAGTCAAGAGAGTGAAGCTCGTAGTCACGCTGAGCGGCAACGTGCAGCAGCACCCGAAGAGTGATCATCTTCGGGGTGGGGGAGAAGGTCTGGAAGAAGTCAACTCCCTCTCGCTGACTGAAACCTCGAGCAACGTAACGAGCCTTGAAGACAGGCGGAGAACCTGGCGGCCGCTTCACCCTGAAAATCCACATGCCACTGACGATGTTCGCCCCAGGAGGGGGAACCTTGTCGACGTAGGTGCCTGTGGACTTCCAGGATGCCATCTCTGCGTCCATGGCTGTCTGCCACTGAGAGGAGTACTCACCCGCGATCGCCTCAGCGTAAGAGCGCGGGGTCGGGATGTCTGGAGCATCCGGGTCTCCCTCAGGGGCAAGCAGCATGGACACGAGATGAGGCGCAGCGGCTGTAAGACACTCAAGGTCCTCCTGCCTATCCTCAAGGACGTCCGTGCCAAGAGCACACTCACCCGCGACGGACGGAGGACAGACAGACTCAAACTCAACAACAAGACTAGCGGCGTAGTCTAGACGACAGGCAACAGCAAAGTCAACAAGCTCAGCGACTAATGCAGACGCATCAACCGACTCAAACGACGGGTCGGTGACAACAAAGGCTAGCAGACGTGTGACAGTAGGGTGCTCAGCACGAAACTGGTCAGACGCAGGGTCAGCAACGACAGGCAGAGAGGACACAGGGGGGGACGGCAGAGAGGACACAGGGGGGGACACACGCGACGGCGGAGAGGAAGGACGACGGACTGCAAGGGGAGGGCCGGGGAGAGCCGGCTGACGCTGACGAGGAACACGACGACTGGAACGACCAGAGCGGACAGGTGAGACAGGACGCGACGCAGGCTCACGACGCTGAGCAAGGCCCCCAGTCTGCTCTGTGTACGGAGAAGGAGCAGGCAGCGGTGAGCC